CAGTGGGCGGATGGTGAGTTGGGTGGTGGTCAGTTGAGTGGAGGGAGAGATGGTGCACAGACAGTAGCCCTGGGAAGGGAGCCCTGGGCTACCCCCACCCATCCTGTCCTTGGAGGTCCTTCCTCCAGCCTCAGTGCCCCCCGAGCATGTGACCTGTGTCCACCAATCAGAGCAGCTCGCCCTTCAGATCAAAATGATTGGTTCAAATAGAGGCATGTGCTCTAAAGTTGGCCAGTGAAATCCCTAGCTGGACTTTTGCAGACCAAGGGGGCTCCATTTCCAAAGTGACTGCTAAGCTGCCCAACCCAGAGCGTTGGTGGCCATCAGTGCCCTGATTTGGGAATGAAGCCCATTCAGAAGAAAGGAGAAAGACTCAGGACCTCATATCAGCACCTGGATCCAGCCATGTCTGAGACCAGTCTGACCTTGGACACTCAGTTTCAGCCAATCAGTCTCTCTCTCTCTCTCTCTCACTTTCTGCTCTAGCCAATTTGGGTTAAGTTTCCATCATTTATAGTGCAGAGGATACACACCTGGGTATTGTTGGTTGTTTCTTTTTTCAGCTGAATGTCACAATGGTGTCCAGAAACCCTACTTCTCCAAGCTCCTTGCTGGGGACAGTGGGCGAGTCTCCCAAGGGCAGGTGGTGTCTACAGTGTGGCTTCAGAGGACACTGCTCCAGAGAAGCAGCTGTCCTCAATGTCCCCTTGGTTGTGCACTGACTCTGGGCGTCAAGCTCCCGGAGCTGCTGAGAAGCCCTGGCCACAGAGAAACTCTGCCATGAGCTGGGACAGTCTGAATTTGAATCCCAGCCCCAACCTGGGTAGCTCTGTGTCCCTAGATGAGCCGTCTGTCCCCAGCCCTCCTCTAGAGTGGGGTCGATCATGGCTGACTTGTACCATCAGGGCCACGCCACACCAAGGTTGCTCTGTGCGTACACTTTGTGCCCAGCACAGGCTGACTGAGACTCTGATCTCTGGGGTCCTCACCCCTCAGCACAGGCATGGCCTGTCACCTCCACAGATGGCCCAGTGCCTAGAACAAGTCACATTCCAGTCCATCTGCAGGAAGTCTGCTCATGAAGCCTCACCAGCAGGTTGTCTGGGTGAGGGGCACCCTGGGCCACGCTAGGGCATCTGCAGGTGCTTCCTGCCAATCTCTGGCTTCCCAGAGCCAAGTGCACAAGAGAGCCCACCTCTTGGCTTCTCAGGGCCCAGAACAGCTGGCAGGCGCCTTCTGTCCTTCCAGCAGCCGGTGCTCCTGCCTCAGGGATGCTTCTCTCAGGTGTCACCAAGGCAGGCTCCTTTTGGTCCCTCCAGGTCTCGATTCCAGTGTCTGTCCCCAAAAAGTCTTACTGGTCCCCCTGACTGGTATGGCACCGACTCCCCCTGGGTCACCTTACTTACTTAGCCTGGCCTAAGTTTCATGCCTGCTCAATTTGTGCTGTCCTCTGCCCCATGCCGGGGCTGCTCTGGGACCTAGGGGAGAACAGCCGGCTGGCACAGAGCAGCACGGATGGACGGCTGACAGTTGTGCTGCTTTCGATGGGCTGAGCGCGTGCTGCAATCAGACACCGCTCTGCCATAATCACGCTGGTCACCTCGGCGCCTGGGTGCACGCTGATTGCGGCTGAGGGCCCTGATTTCAGGCTGGGGGGGCCGGAGGCCTTGGCGGCCTGACGAGGGTAATTGAGGCAGGGCTGATTATGCCTGAAAGCTAGGGGTGGGGGGAGCCATGGGAATAGGCGACGTCACACTCCATACTCCAAACAGGACCGGCTGCTAGGTTTGTTTCCGATGCAATTTCATGGTGATTACGCTGACTTCTTTTCAGAAATTGAGCCTCAGCTGTGAGGCTGGGCCTGGCTGGGAGTGTGAGCTACGAATAATGATTTATGGGCCAGAGTCCTGGGAAGGGATGGGGGGGAGACTAAATGAGGGCAGGCGGGAGCCACGCTGGAGCCCTCTGGGGACTATGGTCCTGTCTCCCAAAGTCCTGTGGGCCTCCAATTTCTGGGCTGTAGCTGAGGCTAACCCCACCCTCACAGGGCCACCGGGAGGGCCGTCAGTCCATTCACCAGCAGTGCTCGGTGGCTGAATAACTTCAAGGCATGATCAGCGTGGTCAGTCGCGCCTGGGGACGCAGGTACAGAGCAGGCACCGGGCCCTCAGGACCGCAGTGTTCCTGCCATCTCAACTCAGGCCTCACTGCCCCAGAATCATTGTACCTTCCCCACACCCACACTGTGGGACAGGAGTGACACCTGCCAGGCTGTGATGACATGAGCCAGAAGGGGCACTGGCTGAAGCCACAAACACCTCCATCGTGGAAGTATTTGTGGATAAAAGGCAAGAGACCAAGCAGAATGTCTAATGCAGTCTGTTTCTCTAGCTGGTTCCCTCGGTGGTGAGCCACCCGGTCAGGCGAGAAAGGTACTCCCAGCCCCCGACTCCTCAACGTGGCGGGGGGCGGGGGGACGGGTGTCTTGACTATAGCCTCTGTCACCCAAGCTTGTTGGGTCAGATCTCCATCTTAGGTCACAAGGCCCCAGGATTCTGTGTCCCCACGCTGGGCCGGAAACTCTGCTCCAAGTGCCTCCCATCTGCCAAGGCCGGCTCCAGAGTTCCCGGAGGGGCCAAGGCACTGGTGCTTTTAGTCACAGCTGAGGACTGTGCCGTGCCACCTGGGTCTGCTAGAACAGGTGCCTGACAACCTAAACCTGCTCAAGTTCTCAGGTGCGGTGTTCGTGACCTGGAATCCTGCTGGCTCCAATGACCCACCAGGCACTGTCCTGGGAGCGCGAGGAGCTTACACTCCAGGGGCGACCCTGCCCCCTGGCCCAGCATCTCTCAGCAAGGAAAACCCGGAGCCCGGAGTTTTAGCAAAAATGTTTAATCTCTCCTTAATGTTTGTGTTTATTTACAAGTACTAAATCTGAAGAACAGTAAAATAGGAAATAGCCGTATATTTACACGTGTGCAGGCTGAGCACGGGCAGCTCTGTGCCTAAAGCCCTGGTCGAGCTTGGTCCGCTCAGACCATCCGAGCGACCATTCTTTTGGGCAGGGGCTCTGTGGCATTAAAGGACAGCTAATTGTGGACTTTGTCTTAAAAATATCTCTCTCTCTAAATATATCTATTGTAGCTTGTGTAGCACCAACAACGTGAGCCACCAGATCCAGAACTGGGGGGTAGCAGAAGGACCAGAAGGGGGGGGAGATGGCTAGGCCCATCTGCCCAGAGGGTGCTGGCCTGTGCCTGGGCCTCAAGGCTGTGTGTCTTGGGCACCCTGTGCCCTCAGGCCAAGGGAGAGGCAGGCCAGGCAGCTAGGAAGCGTAGGGTAAGCTGGAGGTATGTTGAGGCCAGGCACCCAGGCCCAGGCCTGAGCTGTTCCCAGCACTCCTGAGACTAGGTATGAGGGAGGGAAATGCCAGGTGGGGTGGGAGAAGGGCAGGGCAATTGTCACCCATGCCAGGCAGGCCTGCCGGCTCCACTCCGAGCCCTGGGACTGCAGAGGTGGCTCAGAGCACAGTGGGCTTGGCCCTAGTTCCTGCCAGGCTGTCAGGCCACACTGGAGCTGGGGTGGAGCCCCTGGCAGGAGGCCACGGTGAGGTGCTTGGGCCCAGCATCTATGGTGCTGCAGCACTGGGAGGACCATGAGGAATAATGACAAGGGAAAGTCAGAGCCCAAGTCCATGCCTGTCACGGAAAGCACAGGCCCAGTGGGGCTGCTCGGAGGCCCACTGTGGAGACCCACTGGGCTGAGCAAACAGTGGTTAGGACCAGCTAGACCAGCTGATATGTAAACAGGAATGCTTAAAGTGCTTGCGGACAGATGCCTTGTGGGAGCTGCTCCAGATAGGACTGGGCAGGCACCCCACTACCACTGCCTAGCCCCAGACCTGGCAACTGCACCATGTGCACAGGGCAGCCTGGCAGGGCTGAGCAAGGCTGGCCGGCTCTCTGCGGGAGCCAGGAGGCCTAAGAGCAGTGCAGGGAGCTGGGTTCTGAAGGTAGTGCAGGAGCTGAGAAGCTGCTGCATAGCTGGGGCAGGACTGGAAGAGCTAGGGGCTTCAATTTGAAGCCAGCATCCAGGGAAGACTGTGGGGGAAACTGAGGCTCCCATTTACAAACAGCCCAGAAGCATCAGAAGGGAGGGGGGATGGGGCAACACCAGGGCTACCAGGAATACAGCCCATCTCCAGGCTGAGGGGCCTTGGCTCTGGTCCCCATGCCGGCCCAAGGAGTGAGTCCACACCCGCAGTGGGCAGGGCAGGGGCCGGCTAAAATGGACCAGAGCACCCAGGCTCCTTGCACTGCTGTGGGAGGAGGAACTCTTGGGTCAGAAGTTAGAAGACCTCAAGCAGACCCCACACAAGGGGCAGCTCTCAGGCTGACCGCTTGCACCTACTGACCCCCAGTACCTACAGGAGGGACCCCAAGGCTGGCAGCCCGTGGGAGAGGGGTGGGCTGTCCTCAGCACTGAGGCTGGGGCTGGCCACAGTTAGCTGTCCCTTAAAGCCCGTCAGACTCTTTAGTACCATCGAAGAAGTGAACTTGGAAAGGGGGGCGGGCTGCTTCGCTTTTACAAGTGACTGATTAATTTAAAAAACATAAAAAAAAGGGTCTAACCACCTCTAGTATTCGACACTTGCAGTTTGAAAAAGATCAACTCAGACTAAACTCTAGCACAATCATGCAAATCCACAGGCCCTACGCACCCTGGAAGCTCTCGGGACCAGCAGTGGGTTCTTTCCGTTTTGTTGGAGGGACAGCCGCTGCTTCAGGACTGCTGTCTGGGCCACTCCAGCCCCTTTCTTCACGACTGCTGGTGTTGCTTCCACTGCCTGGCTTCTCCAGTCACTTTGCAATGTTTTCTCCTTCAGTTAACTGTACAGACCCCACTGGGGCTGGAGATAAGGCTAGAGCCACACATACATATATATATATATATATATATACATATATATACACACACATATATATATATATGTACAGGGATTTTGACATTAAAAATTTGTTCTCTTGCTCACTGAGGGCAAGAGTGGACAGCAGACAACCTCTAGTCACTTGGTCGTTGCCTTTGCTCATGGTTGATCCAGGCCAGTGGGGTAGCCAGAGGGGCCCTGCCCCCCAAGCAGAGTGCAGCAGGGTTTCTTGTTCCCCTTCAAACACAAAAGCAGTCCCCAGATGTTTCACTGCTCTGAAGGGGCCTGGGTGCTGTTGACATGCCAGATTGGAAGCCGCTGTGGGGAGGGGTGCTGAGGTGGGAAGGACAGAGGAGTAGTGGGGTGAGGGAGGTGGCTGGCTGCCCTCAAGAGCTCCACAGAGAGCTCAGCCCACCCTGCCCTGGGACAGTTGTGGGGCTGTGAAGGAGGAGGGAGAATAAATAAAGGGAACATGCGCCTTGTGACCGGGAGCCCAGGCGGCACAGCCCTGAGGACAGAGGAGTTGCCCGGTCCGTCTTGTCTCCTTGTCTCCGGGAGCGCCTGCAGCCCTCCATGGGAGGGAGTAGGGCCGGGCCTCTCCCCAGGCAAGTGGACATGGAGCTCTGGCCTGGCCTTGGCCGCATGACCACGCGGTGAAATCTGAGAGTGGTGGTGGTGCAGCGAACTTGGTGCTGACACAGGCCATGAGGACGGCCCACTCTGGCTCTTGGGGCCAGTCCCCGGATTTCGCCTCTCCCTCCGCTGCTAACTGGGCCCCGGACCCTCAGACTCTGCCTACTCGTGGCAGCTGGGGAAGCCAGGAACTGCTGATACCGCAGTCCCTCATCCTGGTCTTGCCGGAACAGGACATGCTGGCTGCCCCTCCCTTTGGAGGGCCCTGGCCTCTGACCTCAGTCCCATAGAGGCCACCTCATTCTCCCATGAAGGCCGCCAAGCAAAGGTCCCTGGACGGAGGTGGCAGGGCAGGACCATCACATCCACAATGGTAGAAATGAGGGCTCTCCAGGCAGAGAGGAAGGCAGGCCCGGGGGGCCTAGGCCCCACACCCAACCCGAGGGCCACTCGGCACTCCACATGGTGGGTAAGGGCTGTCTTCTGAGGTCCCCTCTGCTGCCCTCTTGCTCCGCCTCCTGCTGGGCGGTCAGCACCAGGGTCTCAGCTGCTCAGGGCCATCGTGTCCACCACCTGCTCCAGCTTGCTCCGCAGCCGCTGCCGCCGGGCCTGCTCGTCTTTCTCCAGAGCCACCAGGATCTGCAGGGCAGGGGGTGGGGGTTGGGGGTGAGGGGGCAGAGCTGGCTACCCAGGAGTGTGGCTATAAATTCACAGGGTGGTATAGTAACAGCCACAATGTGTCACCGAGAACTACACAGGCACCCTCTGTACCTCGACTGTGCCCAGCAGGGGCTCTAGAGCAGACACCAGAGGCTCGACCGACCCCACCTGTTCCCAGCCATGGAAACTGTAGAGCCAGGCCTGCCTCCCCCAGCATCCTGGTGTGGAGGAGATCCCTTGGTCATCATTCCTGCTCTCGTCCCCCAAAACAGACAGCTCTAGCCTCTGGCACATGGCCCCAACCACCATCTCCCCTTCCCGGGCTTCTGTGCCCCTCCACTTCCTCCTCCTCCTGCTGTGCCGTGTAGGTTGACTACAACCGCTTGCCAATCTTCTCGGTCATCTGCTCCTGAACCACCCCACCTTCGGCAGCCTGGGTCTCCATGCCTTGGACCCATGTGTGAGACCCCCGGTCTTGGCCTATTCCATTCTCTGACTTCACTCACCTCGGCCTGAAGGACCCTCTGCTCAGCTGATGACCTCCACACTCCTAGAGCCTGCAGCTCCAAGTCTCCAAAACCTAGAGCCTGGACTCTGACCTGTGCCTCCACTGGCCTCCTCACTTCTAGCCCAGCTGGCCAATTTGTCCCTCCACCTTAGATCCCAGAACAACCCAGAGTGCACCTGTCTCCCGATCCCTCCCCAGGTCAGCCCTAATTCATCCTCACAGCTTCCTCTGGACCTGGGTCAACTGGGTTTCTTTACCTCACTGCCTTGGCACCCCTTCCCACCCTCTGGCCCTGTGCGTCCATCAGATCCAGTCTAGTCATCAGTTCTCAGAGATGTCTCAGAGCCCCCAGCTGCCTTTGTGCAGAGCACAAAGAGGCCAAGGCCTGATCACCAATAAGACTCTGCAGAAGACAGCCATCCACGACCATGGTTCTCCATCACTCCCCGGTGAGTGCCACGGGGAGCAAGCGCTTCCAAGCCTGCTGTGGGCCCAGTGCAGGTGCACAGGGGTCAAGGTGGGTGCACAGCTAACCCGGAGCCATGGCAGGAGCTGGTGGGGAGGAGCCATCAGGGGAAGGTGTGGGGCTGGGCAGGGCAGGGGACAGGGGGTCCGGAAGGAGGGTGGGCTCACCTCGTCCTTGTACTTGGTGATGTAGGTGTAGATCTCGTGCAGGGCACTCATGCTGTTGAACTGGCTCAGGTGCAGCCGGGACTGCTCGGCCAGGTATGCGCTCATGTCCTGGTCGCTGATGGCGGGCATCTTAGCAATGTCAGCGTAGTACCTGCCAGAAGTGCTGGATGAGTGGGAGTGAGGTCCTGCCCTGCCCCACTGCCCACGGGCCCCACTGCCCTACCCCGTGAACCCACCTCTCCACCCAGCTCTTGTAGTTGGGGATGTCCTTGGCGTAGAGCAGCTTGTTGGAAGGTGAGTCCTTGCCCAGCTTGTGCTCTGACGTCGAGCAGGAGTCCATGAAGGTCTGGGCCACCACCGACAGGCAGGCATCCGTGATGCTGTTCTTGTGGATGTCGAACACGAACTGCGGGTTCTTGATCACGTTCACCCAGAAGCGCAGGGGCAGGCTGCAGGCAGCAGGCAAGGAGTGCGGTCAGCAGTTACCCTGCTGGGCCCTGGCCTCCTCCTGAATAGCACAAGGGAGGGGCTGACTGCTCCTTCCTGTCCTTGACTGCCACAGAGGCAGTCGATGTCCTCACGGTGGGAACTGAAGGCCCAGAATGGTCATCCCTCCTGAACGGCCATCCACGCATCTCTAGCACTGCAGACCACTCCTCACGCCTGGGTTTGTGTGCTCGTGGCCATGTACTCCTGGTCACACCAGGCAGGACATGCAGAGCAGGGGCCCTCAGGACCCATCACACGCCCTGCCTCAGCCCAGGCCACGTAACTACAGAGATCTAACATCTGTGCCCCAAACACTGCCTCAGAGATGGCCACCTGCTGGGCCACCAACAGCCACATTTGCTATTTAATGCAGCTGAGACGGGAGATCTCTGACCAGCATGGGCCCCTGGTGCCACATGCTCAGTTGCCACAGCTCTGCAAAGCATGAATCTAGAACCTTCCATGTTGCAGAGCTCTCTGGACAGCACTGACCAGGCTGATGCTGCCTGCAGCAGTGCCACTCCCTTCACATGGCCCAGAGGACGGGCCCCTTGGGGCCACCATCCTGACCAGAGCCCCCCAGGCAGCATAGGCAAGGCTGGGACCTGGGGCTCCAAGTTTGGGAAGTGGCAGCAGGTGGAAGATAAGCAGAGTCCTGGGAGGGGAAGAGGTGGCTGGGGTGACCCAGGAGGAAGATATGATAAGTCAAAGGCTACCTAAGGCTCAGGAGACAAGGCCTGGCAGGGTGTGGCCAGGAGGTGCTGATCACCTACAAGAGGGGGGAATCAGGGGCACAGGCTCCGGTGGAGTAAGTAACAGGAGGGTGTACAAGAATGAGTCTGCATGAAGGGGGGTGACCCTGGCGGGGCACAGGCATGAAGGCCCGAGGGGCTGCCATCCTGACACAAGCATCTAACCCTGCAGGGAACACAAGTCTAAGTCCGGGGTCCATAGGCTGAATGGTCACGTGCGGAGGGGCTCCCCCTGCTGGGGCCAGAAGTAGGGCTTCTGCTGGGTATGGTGCCCTGGTGGGCTGGGGTGCCGTAGAGAAGCCACAGGTGCTTCTGACAGCCCAGAGTCAGGGGCCTAATGGAGAGCAAAGGGCGTGTGGAGTCTTGAGCTGGGCTGCTGGGGAGCTGAGGGGTAGCCTGTGGATGTGGACAGTCCACACAAGGGCAGATTTCTGCCCCAGAAAGCAGCCAGGCCTGATGGCAGCAGGCCGTGGTGGGCACTGTGGGGAGATCCCCCTCAGGGACTGGGCTGTCACCTGGGCCCGCTTTTGCCCAGCTGGGTGTGTACAGCAGTGCCCAGAGGCCTGCAGTGAATCCCAGCTCCATGCTCACTGCTGTGTGACCTTAGTGAATGGACAAGGCCTCTGTGCCTCCAAGAGCCTTATCTGCCATGGCTTCAAGTGCCTCGTGTTGGTGACCACGGGGAGTGTACTGCCATGGTCTGTCACAGTTACTCTGGCTCTGCTACCAGCTGGCTCGGGTTAGCCCTCCAAGTTCTGTGTCTCACAGGCAGCTTCCACAATCCAAGGAGGGTGCCCCATAATAAGAGGATGGGATCAAATGCAGGGTGGAGTGGCAGAGGACACCCCAGGATGGCCAGCCGGGAGAGCCTAGGGAGGAGCCCAGCCCCAGGTTCTGGCTGGCAGCACTCTGGATGCCCAGCAGCCTGAGCTCAGGCTCCCTGCTCAGAACTGAGGGCTCCAGGGTCAGCGTCTGCACCTGTCCCCCGTGGGATGCCCACCCACTGCTGCACCCCACAGGGCAGTACCAGTTGCTCTTCCAGGTGTGGCGCACGTCAGCATCATGGATCTGGTGCTTGTCGGCCTGCTCATCCAGGAAGTCGAACATGTACTTGATGGCCAGTGGCAGGGCAGAGCCCCGGTGTGCCGTGCTGAAAATGGTCTCGAACAGGTCGTCCACAAACTTTTGCAACGTGCCCTGTGGAGCAAGGCACAGAGCTCCAGGGCTGGACTGCGTGCCACGCCTCCTGGATGATGGGGCAGGTGCTGCAGGAGCAGGGTGGGCTGAGGGTTTGAGCCCGGCACCCCTGTACCACCCTCCAGTGCCCACCTTGGTGGCCAGCAGCCGGTCAGGTAGATTTCTGAGACCATCTTGCTGCCCCGGTCACCCTCACGCTGGTCCAGGTGATCATGGTTCTTCACCAGGTGCCACAGCTTGGTGCCACTCTCCAGGTCGGGCGTGATCATAGGTGTGCGTGAGCGCAGGCTGTCTGGGCTGCTGGCTGTGCGTAACATGCTCTCTGCAGGGACCGGGCCTGTCAGCGCAGGGCCACGTCCAGCGCCTGCAGCTCCACCCAGCTCCCACCTCAGGACTGAGGTCTGGTGCCCGAGCCACTGTGTTCACCTGAAGCTGGGACATTAGTGCAGTCCCCTGGGTGCTCGGGACAACCAGGGGGCAGGTGCGGGCTATGGAGAGAGGCACAGCCTCCAAATTGTGTTCAGGGACAGAAAGACTGTGTCCCCTCAGTCTCCACATCCAACCTGCTACACAGAGCACAGGGGAGACATCCTGACCAGGCCCTGGACTTCCCCGTTACCCAACCTGCCAGACCCTCACCGTATCTGCTGAGAGACTTGGTAAAAGTGGAGGAGTTGGAGATGTTGTAGGCAGACGTTTGCTTGGGCACCAGCGCCACTGATGACCCATCTGTCACCTGTGGATGGAGGCCAGGGATGACTATCCAGGGCGCTGACAAGATGCCCTGCCCACCCTGCAGGTGGAGACCAGGTGGCACCAATGGTTCTGTGCCTGGAGGAGGGTCACCTCACCACTCAGCCTTGGCCTCTGCCTGGGCACAGGACCAGGGCTGTGGGGCAATCCTCAGGCCCAGTGTGGGGCCGGGGATTGTCCACACTCGTGGTCCCTCCTCCTATCCTCTGGCACTGTTGCCTAGGGGTCCTGGACACTGGCACTGTGATGCAGTGGAGGTGGGGGGAGCAAAGCATGTGCAGAAGTCAGGTGGGGGACCTGGGTCACCTGATAGTGGGCCAGCGTGTTCAGCCGCTTCCAGTCATTGTCGATCTTGGTGGTGACGTCCTCGTCCTGCAGGATGATGCGTGCCATGCGGCCTTGGCGCCACTCTGTGGGGAGCAGGGTGCTGGAGGGGGGCTGTGGGGACCTCACTATCACAGCCCCTCCTTCCATTCAGCACAGTACAGGGAGGGGAACGGGGCAGACGGGGCAGTGGGCAGTGGCAGGGGCCTGCGGGGGAACTTAATAAATGAGGCTTGTCCTTCCATCTGTGCAGCTCCTGACCCTTGGCTTGGAGCAGGAGGCCAAGGCCTAGACCTTAGGATTGGGCTCCTCTGCCCGCTGGCTCACTCTGGCCTGAGAGCTATGCCCTGCACCCCCTGGGCTCGAGGCCTCACTCCACAGCCTGGCACCCAAGGCCCTCCTCAGTGGTCCTGACCCAGCTTCTATCGCCGCATTTGCCACGTGCACTTCCCCAGAGCTCTGTTCCACACTTCCTCCTTGGGCCCGTGGCCCCCAACTACCTAGCCCACAAGTCAGACATCTTAGTTCCAACAGCCTCCACATCCCAGAAAACATGGGCACCCACTGCCAACCTCTCCCTTGGGATGGGAGCTGCAACCTGAGCACCCCATTTCCTCCTGCTCCTGCCCACCCACACTGGCCTGGAGACCCCGGCCCCTGGCTCTACGCCCCTGCTAGCCCCTCCTCTGTGACTACAGCTCCTGGACACACCTTGTCCCTCGGTTGGCAAAGTCAGGCCACCTGCCCAGAACCCCCACCCCCATAGTAGCCACAATGGCCAACTGTGGTTCCAGAGTCCACTCCAGCCTGGTCTGACCGCAGCTCACCCAGGTCCATGTCCCCAGCCTTGGGGCGCTGGGAGTAGGGCACCCCCTTGTACACAGCGTCCAGCAGCTTCTCCTTAACCTGCGTCACAGTGTCGCAGTTCAGCCCCTTCACTGGCACCTCGGGTGCATTCTCGTTCTCAGGGTTCACACAGTTCAGGGTCTGTGGGAAGGGGCACGGCAGTGTCAGCCTCCCCCCCAGCATCTGCCATCCCCACTCGCCTGTGCACGCCTAGGCAGGCTCACTGGGGGCATGGAGGAGGCAAGCCTGTGGCAGGTGGCATTCAGACACAACCAGGGAGAGGACCCCGGCACTCACCAGCGTCTTGTAGTCAATCTGCTGACGGATGAGCTTGTCCTCGCTCAGGGAGTAGCGGGCCTCGCCGGTGATGGCGTCAATGGGGCCCTTCTCCATCTGCTGCTTGATGGCGCAGTACAGCATGAACAGCGGCTCCCCGGCGCACTCCTGTGAGGGTAGCGGGGGCCTGAGACCGCAGCGGGGACACGGGCTCCCTGTCACCACCCCTCAGCCCTTCCTGGGCCTGTCGCTGTGCAACAAAATGAATGCAACAGAGCCAAGCCACTGCCCCTATGAATGTGGACATGAAAGTCCCAAATAAATCAGGAGCTAGGAGGCACTGGGAACTTGTCAGAGAACACTGGGTGGCCACGCAGGCCTGTGCCAGGAAGACCAAGCCAGCTGGTGCTGCTCTGCAGTCTCCCTGGCTGACCTCAGGGACCACTGCCCCACCCCACTCCCTACAGCTGACCACAGCTCGCTGCTCTCAGGATAACACTCACCATGAAGCCCTCACCCACAACACAGGCGGCCCTGGGACCCACACCACATGTGACTGATCTGCTGGATGTCCACAAGGCCAGGAGTCCTCCCTTACTCCAGAGCTCCGCATAGCTTTCAATGCTATCACTGTGCAAACACACCAGTCCCGGGACAGCACAGGAGTCTGCAGCCCAGTGCCAGACTCAACAAGGGTCTGCTCTGGCCCTGCCAGCCAACCACTGGACATCTGGTCTCCCCATCTGCAGCCACAAAGGCCAACTCCTGGTCCCACCCCAGGGCCTTTGTAACCACTGTCCCTACCACCCCCAGTTCCTCCTGGACTGAGGTGGTCCATTCACTGGACTGAGGTCCTCCCACTGGGATAGAAGCCCCAGGGCCAGGGGGCTCTGGCTCGCACATTACACCCTGCAACAGCACAGCCTGTGGGTTGGGGCTCCAAACACTTGCTGATGAACCAAATGTATGGGAAGCTGTCAGGGAACCCATCACATTGTGCAGTGAGATGAGGAACGCCAGCGGACACAGTGCAGCCTGGTCCTGTCAGCCCTGAGGGGGTGCCTGGTGCCTCCACCCTGCAGTGCCCTCTGGCTGTGCCTGCAGCACAGGTGAGTCTCCACAGGGCCTGGCCTAAGGTCCTCTGCAGGTTTGGGAGATGTGAGTACCCCCGGGGTGGGCAGCAAGCTCAGGCAGCCCTGCCTCCCACAAGGACCCGGGCAAGACGACGGGGTTCTGCCCCTATACCCAGATGCTCCAGGCACCTCGTTAGCATCTGCAGTAATTAAAGAGACAGCTGCTACGGAATGGCTGCAAGCATAGATCATCCCAAGACCTTCCAACAACATGCCTGTCTTTGAAATTATGTTTCATTTGCAAACTTGGCTTCATTAAGTCAGCCAGGGGTGGGGGGGAAGGGGAGCAGATCTGGTGCAGAGCCGTCCATCAATAGCTGCCTCTCTTCCTGGAAAAGCCATCTACCAGAGGGACCGAGGGGTAAGAGCCTGAAGGTTTCCCAAGGTCAGAGGCCTGCTGGAGGGGTTCCCAGGCCCAGGCTTTGCAGAAGCCAAAAGGAATGCGGCTATAGACTCTGAAGGCCAGAGGGAGGTACTGCCCAAGGTCACACAGCAAATAACTAGAAAGGCTAGGATTCAAACTGGATCCATCTGACCTCAATGCCCCTGCCCCTTAAAAGCTGGAGTTCTCACAGAAGACTCAGGCCACTCACTCCTGACTCAAATGCATGAACCAAACGCGTGGAAATAATGCTCCCGTGCCAACCTCGACTGCTTCTGTGAGGAATCAGATGAGAGCCCAAGAATGAGGAGAGGGAGGCCTGGAAGGAAGGGCTGAGTCCTTTCCCTCTCTGAGCCTCAGCCTTCCCAGGTCCAGGCAGCAATGTGCAGAGACTGCCCGACAAAAAGTGCCGCCTTCACACTGAACGAGAATCCGAGTAGGGAAAGTTCAACAAATGAAGGCAGGGAAAGCACTTCTTCACT